AGGAGGACCGAGCGCACTGTTGACGTGCGGCTGAAGCCCTAAGTTCCCCTAGGAACTAAAGGAAGCAATGATATATATATATACATATGTATATATACGTATATATATATATATAAGTAATGAGTGCTTGTGTCACTAAGTCTTATATTCAAATGTGTTTTAAGTAAAAGTTAAATTAACAAAGATTTGAGTAATATAGCTGACTAATGATCAATGTTGAAAGTCACTGAACGCCTTTATGTGCTTCGGACACTTGATCTGACACCAATAGCTCTTCCATCAGCCTACAGACTTTCATCAATACCTGACTTTGCTAACTTGATACTGAAAGGGATTGAATTGTTACCAGAGGGGGGGGGGAATAATCTCTTTGACTTAGAAAATGCAGATGATATAGTCCTCTCTCCTAGGTGAAGGTGCTGATAAAATAGAACAGAGTCTTCTAAATACCTTGAGCAGCGAGCAATCTTCAAATCTTTGATATGTGATTCGCTCCCCTCAAATGTAAGATTTTGCTACAGGACTGGACTACATCGACCCACTCCTAGCTTACAGATAGGGAGTAGAGTGGTAGAGCGTGTTGATCACTTCCTTTATTTTAGGAATTAAATCAGCCAACGCTAGCGGGTTGATCGCTGACGAAAATTCAGCACGGATACTCTGGTGTGGAAGTGATACCCGGCTGTCGACCTAAGGGCGCCGTCCTCCTTTATCAGTGTGAAAGAGATATGGCCACTGAAAGTGGAAAACATGAATAGCCTGCCTACCTAGCTGTCTTTGATCATAGGTGTCTCCGTTCTGTCTCCCTTGTTAGGTGGTGGTTTAATAAGGTGAGCAATATTGAAGTGAGGCATCGGTCGAGTGCCAGGTAAGAAGGGGAAATCAATCAATGAGTTTGTGAGGTTACACCAACTGAAAGAGATGGTTAGGATATGTGTTAGACATGCCTAACCGTAGCCTTCCTCGACAACGTGGTGTTAGCTGGCATAGGTTAGACCAGGTTGGAAGAGACCTAGTGGCGGTGAAACCAAAACATTGCTTCATCAGTCAATGAAATAAATCCAGCACAGTTAGTTTAAGCCAGCCTAGTATGGAGGTGTAGATTTCCCCACTGACTGGTTTGGGTCCTTGGGATGTAAAAACCAGTGGCGGCGGCTGGAGACAATTGGTGATATGACTCAAAATCCTCTTTGCCAATGCATGGCACAGATGCTTTCAGTCTTTGTGACTTATAATATCCAATAAAATCCTATCGTTCTTCCATATTACTATTCTTTTTGCCTCACACTTCTGTTTATTATCTCTCTTCACTCTTTTCTCTTGCTATGTGTGCTACATGGAGGCAGTGTGGCAACTCGAAGCGCTGCACACCTGTACAAAGTTCTACGTTGAAACCAGTCAGTCTTGATACTGAATATCAGACAACCAGTCAGAAAAGTTTAACAACAAACAAGGAACCCTAAGAACAAAAGCAATAAACAAAACCAACTACCTGACAAATATTCAGAAGAAAACAGAGATGATTCAAGCACACACACTGAGAAATCCGTTGAATGACACCTCGCGCCAGACATAACTTCGAATGAAACCAATCTGTAACAACCAATTAATTGATCTGAGATCTGACAGTGACATACAGAAGATATTGTAAAGAAGAGATAAGAGTTTATGAACAGTCGTGGAGCTTCCCAGCCAGGAATTACTACAGATAGATAACAGAGTGAAATGGAGATAGGCCCACTGTGAAGTCAATGTGCTTTAGTTTTAAAACGTTTTTAACTTTTTTGTCTTGTTTTGGATTTGAATTCCAAATTTGTCAATGCACAATTGTGTTTAAAATTACCTGGGTTTTTTTCTGTGGCTGTTGTCTAAACACACATAAATCAGATCTCAGTGTGTTGGTGGGTGGGTTTTATTTTTCCGGCTTATTTGTGTTAACACAAGACACGACCGACACTTGATGTTTGATAGACACATAAACAACGCAATCCTATTGGTTGTTTTTTTTAAAATATTTGATCCATTTGGAAATAACCAATCAAAATAGAGAATTTGAATGACACAACTAGAATATATCATACTATGATTATTATTATATTATGTAAGGCTGTGCACTAAATATTTTGGTTTTTTTTCTTTAGTACCGGCTGTTATTGATATTATAATATACTGAATCAAATGAATTTTAAGCGCTCACGGATTGATATCAGTTAAAGAACAATTTTTGAAACCCACAGCAACGAGTACTGAACAACTGTTTCGTCCTTGTCTGTGACTCTACAGCACTATCCATGCATAACTTTGTCACCAAGGCTTCAATCTCCATTTAGCCATTAGGATTTCAGTACTCTTGAATGCTACATCTATCCATTATAAAGCTACACAATTTCATCAGTAGCTGGCTTCCAAGGTATGGTGAACTTTATTTATTTTTCATTCCTTGAGTTTCGAATGAAACATGGAGCTGCATAGCTTAAAAGCTTAAAGTTTTAATGACCGTCTGTCTGTCTATCTGTTTTCGACATAAAACTTTGCACCGATGTGCGGCATTTCGAGTCGCCACACTCCCCCCCCCCCCATGTAGCACACAAAGCAAGAGAAGAAAGTAGAAGAAATGCATAATAGAGACGTAAGTAAGTTGAGGTATGAGACAGAGCAGTAGTAATAACGAAGAACAATATAGTTTCATTGGAAATTATAAGTCACAAGGAGTGGATGCATCTTCGCCATTGAGAATGACGATTTTGAGCCATATCACCGATTGTCTCCAGCCTTCATTGGTTTCTACGGTCCCGAAGACCCTAACCAGGAAGTTTACACCTTCCTACATGGCTTAAACTAACTAAACTAATGACCGTAGTGTCTTACGCCAAAGCTTCCTTCTTTCTCAGATTTTTTAATGATAGGTAGCTAGACAAGGTTTCCTGTGATGAGTACGTTGACCAGGGAATCGAATCCTGCACAACATGTGTGATGTGGTTCATGGTGAGCATTTTACCACTGAACAACCGATGCTGACCTTTATTGAAGATAAAATGGTTGGCCAGAAAGAATTAGCAACTTGGAACTCTGGCAATGAACGAACTAACCAAGAATCTTCATCATGAGCTGACATTAGTTAGAGAACCATTGGAAAACCATCTGGGAGTACTGGACAGCCAGCTGTTTCGTCATCCTAGTTTGGGACTCTTCAGCAGTACGCACCCACCGGGATTCGAACCCAGGACTTTCTGGTTACAAGGCGAGCTCGTATACCACTAAGTCACTGGGACCCCATCCAATGGCCCATGAATTCTAGCTACTGCCAATTCACGATATAGCGCGACCCTTAGCCAATGTCTTCGGCGAGTATTTGTCCTCACACCCAACCTGATGTACCCTACTGGTCACGCGCTATGTCGTGAATTGGCAGAAGTTAGAATTCATGGGCCATTGGATTGGGTCCCAGTGGCTTAATGGTATAGGAGCTCGCCTTGTAACCAGAAGGTCCTAGGTTCGAACCTCAGTGTGATGGGTGCGTACTTCTGAAGAGTCCCAAACTAGGACGAAACAGCTGTCCAGTACTCCCAGGTTTTCCAATAGTTCTCTAACTGATGTCAGCTCATGATGAAAATCCTGTAACCAATCAAATCCCTACAAACCAACACTTGAATAACCAAGAATCTATATCACAGTAAATATTTTGAAGAGAGACGAGATACATCAGACACACACTGAGAGGAGGCAGTTGGATGCCATCACGTGCCAAACAAACCTTCTAGTGTAAACCGAATGAGAAACGAAGAGTGGGATGTCGCCTTGAGGATGATATGCAGCCGACGGCAGACGCTGGACACTCGTGAGGCCAATTGAAGAGGACCTCAGTAATTAGGACAAAGTGGAGATGGGCTTTTGAAGCTCTATGTTCCACTCGGGACCCAAGGGAACAATAATAATCTTTTTGAATAGTAGATAAAGACGAAGCAGTATGATCTTCACCACCTCTTTTGATTTCATACGCAAGACCTGTTTGATGACTGCATTTATGAATGAACTAGTGGTATACACTAATTAGTGAATTGATTTTCTTAACAGACCATACAGAGATGGTTGATTCCTTATTGAATAATCTATAAATTGCTATCCTTGTGGTTGAAGGGTGGCGGGAGGAAGGTGAATTACTATATTTCCAGGAATTTTTCCCATTTTTACTTTGAACAAGATAGTGTGCATACTATAATAATATCAATTGGCTCTGTAGTATAGTTGCCAGGCTTTCGTTATCTTCCTAGACAACGTCTCTCCCCCCTCTCTCTCTTTTGACATGGTATACACTTCCTTTTATATCAATGCATTTGGACGACTAGCGATGTCACTTCAACTGGAAAAATGTAAAGGTCTTAAACAATGCAGAAGTAGACGGAGGGTAGTTGTGGCAACTCAATTCGTATAGATCAAATTTTAGCAGTATAATAAGCAATCAGTTAGTTATACAAACGTAAGGTCAGATATTAAAACGATGAAATTATTAATGCAATCATAATGAAAATCTCTAAGGGTTTACAAATCACATTCAGTGGCTGTCAGGAGGCACACTTCTCTTCTTCTTCTTCTAGGAAATTCTATAAATATGTTGTGTAGCAGAGAAATGAAAGTTTTGCATTGAAAGTGCAGATGCCAACAGCAATAGCTTACAAAAAGTCGATTATTAAATGTTGTACTCTATTGGCCCAGTGAATAATACATGCATCAGTAGATAGCTCAACGCTAGAATGCTCACTGTCAGCCAACCACAATGCGTGTGATCCAGGATTCGACACCCAGCCAACGGATGCCTTCCTCCCAAAGTCCCCCCCCCCCCCAAAAAAAAAACAACACCTATTAACCAAGAGTAAGCCAGCTGGTAAATTAGGAAAGATGGACGCAAGGTCAAGCCCCCTTCGTTCGAATAGCAGAAGAAACATTATATATATACACGAAAAAGGAATGCGGTTACTTCAAAAAGAAATTCAGAAACTCACTTTGATAAGATATTTCATTCTGATTGTTTCACCATGGTATTGATCCACTGATCTCTAGTTCCAGAGAACTTTCTGATCTCAATGACATTCTCACTGCTCTCTATCTCGCTCGCTCTTCCTTTTGCTTCGTTTCTCTGCCAATCTACCTCTCTCTCTCTCTCTCCTTGTATCCCTCGTTCTCACGCACACACTGTATCTGTGTTACCGTCGTCTTATCAACTGTAAATATTCCAGTATTGTCTATATATGATGAAATAAGCAAATCAATAAGCAACTAGTATTGTGTTTTCAACTTGATTTGCAATAATGCCAGTGACAATCATCATAACGATTAAGTGTTGCATGCATTTCTTACTACTATACTGTTCATTTTATTGACGATTTTGTTGTGCTTGTACCGGTTGACGATAATTGTGACGATGACGCGGATGATGATGGCGTTGATGATGATGCGTACAAGTATGCGTTGATTTGTTTGTATGTGAAAAAATAACAAAAATAATAATAATTTTTGGCCGTTAAATCCTAAAAAGCTCAATGTCTCTTTCTTGTTGCATAAACCACCTCCAGTGATAGTATTAGTAGTGTAAAATAAAATTGCCAAGTCTGATAGGCGTACACACACGCACACTATATATATACATATATATATAAGCATAAGTACATATATATGTAAATAAATATGTGTATGTATATTATAATTACAAACATACATACACACCTACATGCATACTTTTAATACGCCTGGTATGACTGCATAAACTGTTAACAAATTTGATTGGTTATTTTAAATTTCTGTCATGCTTGTATACATACATACATTCATACATATATAAATAGGCGTACGTCAACATGTGCGTATATGCGTATGGTTATCTATCAATCCATATGTGCGTCAGTACACACTCGCTAGCTAGGCTATCTATCTAGGCCAGTGGTCTGAATTTTGGACTAGATAGACTGGGTAGACGTTCACTATTACTATTACTATTATTGTTATTATTATTTTTATTATTACTATTCTCTTCTACAACTTTCTACCGTGTAAAATCATAGTAATAATAATAACAATAATAATAATAATAATAATACAGAGTGCATAACAGTCAAATGCATTTTGTATCTATGCTCGCATTATTACATATTGCATATTATATCAGACCGATTTTTAAAAATTGAAAAAGGCTAAACAACTTTATGTCCTACATACAAATAATTAAAAATACCAAAAAAAAGTTCAAAAAAATTCAAATCACATGTTGTTTTCCTAATAGATATGTATTCAGATTCATATACCCTATGAGAAGCGTGTTTGTATGCAGGCGTGCTGGTGCACATGGATGACAGAGGCTGAGTGAATGAGCAAAAAGCTCGACAAGTATGTCAGGAATGCATATTAATATAGTGATAGGTAGAGACAGATAAGAGATTTATAGAAAGAATTCAAATCTGTTAGATAATAGAAGCTAATTATTGTCAGGATGTCTTGAACCTAGGCTTCACACTTCCCGGTACTCCACAGAAAGACGTACCTAGTCTTCAATTAAAGTATGCATTACAATCCTGCAAGAGGTCAAGGTCGCGACCTGGAATAGCTCAGTGGTAACAGCTTTGACTGTAACACTGGGTGATGTAGGTTCGAATCCCAGAGAGGACATGCATTCCTTAGTATTAGGATGAAGTTCAACAATAGCGTCCCAGGAGTGCAAACACTCTAATGATCTTGAACGCATGCTGGTCGTTGGCTAACGGCAGCTGTCATTATCACAGCTGAAATATCAATGATATTCACCAACAAAGGAACAAATTTCACCCAGATCACATTTTTAAGTATTATTATTATTATTATTATTATTATTATTATTATTATTATTATTATTATTATTATTGTATCCTTTAATTCCTACAGGAACATAGGGTTTCAGCCGTGCGTCTCCATTGAGTTCTGTTCTCTGCTACAGTCTTCACCTGGCTCCATGTCTGTCCACACGTTTTCATCTCCTCTTCACATGATCTCCTCCAAGTCACCCTACATTTGCACTGACGACCAACTCGCCGCTTCCCGTTCGGGTTCCACTCGAGTAATGGCTTGTCTAGGGATGTCACCCACGTGATGGTTTCCTCAGAGTATGGCCAATCCATCTCCATTTCCTTCTGCCTATTTATTTCACAATCGGTTCCTGCTGTGTTGGTTCGTTCATTGGCAGAGATGGCTCCCTGTTGCTGATCTTTTCTTGTAAGTAGTGTTTGGGCAATGTGTTAATAGCTCGTTAGAGTTAGGATAACAATAATAATAATAATAATTTCGCTTTATTGCAAAAATAGTACTAATGATACAGCAAGGAATTTTCAGCATTCAGTACAATATTGCATTTAATTTACTCAAAAACGACAAAAAAAAACAAAAATTAAAAAATAAACATTACATAATAACATCACATGATAACAAAACGTTGTTATAGCAGCTATTTAGCAAATTACTGTATGTAATACGGAGAAAAATATGCATAAAGTATAAAATTATAGTAATAATCGTAATAACAACTAAAATAAAAATAGCAAAGTTATAATTAAACGATAGAAAGGGTGACACCATAAAATTACAGAAAGATGAACAATGAAAGGGTCGATTCACTTTGCTAATTACATAGTAACTTATATGTTTCACGTCTAACAGAGTCTTCATCACATAAAATACGGGCTAAATACGGTATTGTAGAATTTTTGTACTTAGTGGTTCGAGCATATAACTTTTTATATTGACTTCTCGTCCTACCTGATGAGGTGCAAGGGGATAGTTATGAATAAAGGGGGTGCAGAGGGTCTGACAGTACGGCCTTTGCCCACTTTGTACAGGAATTTATATGCCTCTCGACTATAATATTGGCGAGCTGACGTAGTGGCAAACCACAAGCCCTACTCACAGCATTTAATATCCTTCGTAATATGACATAGTCTTTTTTGAGAAGCCCAGGAAAGATTAATGGAGAGCAATAGAGTACAATAGGTAAAATACAGGAGTTTAAAAATTTCAGAAGTAAAGGTTGGTTGATACCTGATTGTCTTAACTTTTTAATGTAGAAGGTAAGACGAAACATTTTCTTAGAGATTGATAAGATATGGGATGACCATGAAAGGTCAGAGGAAAGAACTAATCCAAGGTATTTAATGCTCGATCAGGGTCATAATTAGGATTAGGGTTAGGTTTACGGTTAGGATAAGGGTTGAAATTAGGGTTAGCATCAGGGTTACAGTTACGGGTAGATTTAGAGTTGATGTCATTTATTTCACTTTGTTTTATTATCAATACTTTCCTGGTAAGTAGTTGTCGATCCTCTTACTGGAAACCACAGTAATTCAACCGAAGGCATTTGGGGAAGACTGCACATGAGGATAAGAGAGATAAACGATTCACAAAGACATCTCATATGCTGTGTCACCTCGGTGAATATATATGTACAGAAACTAGTCTAACTTAGCAACTGATACTCCTCATTATAACTGGGACGTATTTTTAAGTCATGTGTTAGAGAAAGATACCCTGTTCAATGTGTTTTCATGCATTTTCTTGTAAATATACTTCAATTTTTGTGCAAAAATTCCTCATTTTTATGATTGGTCGGCTTAAGGTCTCTGGTGAGTTCACACTCCTGGGACGCTATTGTTGAACTTTGCCAGTGTATTGGTTTACGTGAACAATAATGGACATAGGGCTTCAACAACACACTTTCATTTTACTTCGTTCTCTTCAGCTGGCTGCACCATTGTCAGTAAACTGTCATCTCTTCCTCATACGATTTCTGTTGTCTGAAATCTTAGCCACACACTCTACTCGTCATTCCCATTTCTGCATCCACTCGCGGTTATGCATGGCACACAATGTTACTCAATTGTCTTCTCCTAGTAAGTCCTGTTCATCTCCATTTTACTGCAGCATGATTGTTGGACGATAAGTTCTTGACTGGTTCGTCGACAGAGTTCCTTATTCCCTCCATATTCTTTACGACTGGCCATTTTGGTGTGCGATATCAAGTCAGTGAAGGCAGCTGGGTTAGTTACAGGATTTCATCATGAGCTGACACAATGGTTAGAGAACCATTGGAAAACCTGAACGGAGTACTGGACAGCTGTTTCGTCAACCTAGTTTGAGACTCTTGAGCAGTACGCACTCACCCCACAGCCGGGGTTCAAACCCAGGACCCAGGCTAGCTACCGCGTAGACTATCATGCCACTGCAATCCGATTCAATGGCCAGCCCATGAATTCCAACTTCTGACAATTCACGACATAGCACGACTCCTAGCCAATGTCTCCGGCAAGCCTTTGTCCTCACACCCGACCCGCTGCAGCCTACTGATCACGACTTCTCACTAGAACCCCAGGTAACTACCTGCCTGAATAGGGCAAGCAGCTAGTGGGCATCTCATAGATATTCAAGTGTTGGTTTGTAGAGATTTGATTGGTTACAGGATTTCATCGTAGTCTGGGTTCAAACCCCAGTGGATGCCTACTGATGAAGAGTCCCAAAGTAGGTTGACCAAACAGCTGTTCAGTACTCCGTGCAGGCTTTCCAATGGCTCTCTAACCAATGTTAGCTCATGATGAAATCCTGTAACCAATCAAATCCTTACAAACCAACATATGAGCCGCTGGGTTAATTGAAGTTTGAAGTAGTTTTGGTGTAATGCCAAGTCATCCAGAAATGTATTGCTTAATGTTAGATGTAGTCTAGATGGGGTGACCAACTGGAAATTAGAGAGGAGGGATAGAAGTTGGGATGACGTAATATGTGTGGGAAAATGACTAATCAATATGATTGTGTAGAGTGGACAAGTACTAGTGGAAGGACAATAAAGTGTTTTTATGTAAAATCTGTATGGAAACGCGATGCTATTAATAGACAGTAATAGATTAATAAATGATGGAGATAATAGTAATAATAATAATGATAGTAAAACTACATAATAAAAAAGAAGCAAAATTATAGTGAGGACGTTACTCTGGCCAAGTTAGAGTGGCAAGTGAATGTATGTGGTGGTTTTGAATTGCAGAGGTCTGGTTTCAGATCCCCAATGATCCAGATGGCTTATGTAC